TTCTACATCTATCTTCTTTTCCTTAGCAGTTCTTTGAAATGAAGAGTACATTCTTTACCCAAAAATTCCGCAGTGCTTTACAATGGATGGACTAACAAACATGTAATTGTAACCAGACAAGTTTGACGCACAGAAACAAAGGGGCTGAGGGCCCTGCTGAATGAGCTTACATGCTAGAGGGAGTGGGGTAAAAGTGACACAAAAGGTAAGGAAAGTATTAGGGAGGTAGACTGGTAGAATAGTACTCAATAAAGACTTAGTGTAGGTTTTTCTTGAGCCATCAACAGTTTAATTGATATGCTTTTGTGAAAAAGTGAGTTTTTAATGATTTATTAAAGGAGTGGAGACTGGGTGAGCATCTACCAGAGAAGGGAAGGGAGTTCCACAGGAATGGTGCAGCCCTAGAGAAATCTTGAATGCGAGCATCAGAGGTTGGAGTACGAACAGAGGATAGACGTGGGTTTTGAGCAGAGCGTAGCGGCCTAGAACGGGACATACTTGTGTATTAGGGAAGATAGATAGGTGGGAGTAGCATTATGTAGAGATTTGAAAGCAAGAACCAGAATTTTATATTGAGCCCTATATTTTACGAGAAGCCAATGCATGGGTCTGACAGAGGGGTGAGGCATGGGAGGTGTGGGCGGACAAGAAGATGAGCCTCGCCGCCGCATTCATTATAGACTGCAATGGTTCAAGTTGGGAGCACGTAAGACCACTGAGAAGTGGATTGCAATAGTCAAGGTGAGAGAGGACAGTGGCATGGGCCAGCACCTTAGCCGCATCTGGCATTGAGTATAGGTGGATGCTCGCAATGTTTTTGAGGTGGAAGTGACAGGATTTGGTGATTGACTGGACATTAGGAGTGAAGGAGAGGTCGGAGTCAAAGAGAACACCTAGGCAGTAGCAACACTTGAGGGAGTAGCAACACTTGAGGGAGGAAAACATTGAAATTCTGTTTTGGACTAGTTGAGTTTAAGCCATCCAGTTAGAAATAGCAGAGAGGCAGTTAGAGACACTAGTCAAGAAGGGCAGGGGGAAATCAGGGGAGGACATCTGCATAGAAGTGATATTTGAAGCCAAAGGAGCTGATGAGTTTACCAAGGGAGGCAGTAGAGATGGAGAACAATAGGGGACCAAGGACTGAACCTTGGGGGACACCAACAGAGAGAGGTTGGAAGGAAGAGGAAAAGCCAGAGAAGGAAACACTAAAAGAGCGCTGGGTGAAGTAGGAGGAGCACCAGGAGAGAGCAATATCTCATTACGGAGGATGAGAAGAAGCTGTTGATGATCAACAGTATCAAAAGCAGCGGAAAGGTCAAGGAGAATTAGGCTAGAGTAGTGAACATGAGATTATGCAATGAGTAGATCATTTGATACTTTGGTCAGAGCTGTTTCCACAGAGTGGAGAGCGCGTAAACCAGACTGAAGTGGGTTGAGCAGAGAATTGGACTCAAGGAAATCTTTCAATCTTACATACACAAGTCTTTCAAGGAGGCAGTAGTGAGATAGGGCGGTAGTTGGATGGGGAGTTAGGGTTAAGTTTGGGCTTTTTAGAATTGGGGTTACAGTCGCAAATTTGAAGGGTAATGGAAATATGCCAGATGAGAGGGAGAGATTGAGAATTTTAGTGAGAGGCAAAGCAAGAGAAGGTGACACAGTACGGATGAGATACGAGGGAATAGGATCAAGGGAAAAGGTTATGGGGCAGGAGGATCGGAATAGATCAGAAACCTCTTCCACTGTAGCGGGTGCAAATGAACATAGAACAGCGAAGGGAGTGAGGTTGGGGGAAGTATTGTAAAGGGAAGAAGAGAGATGAGGGATCTCTTCCCTGATTGTAGAGCTCTTGTCAGTGAAGTGAGTTGCAAAGTTTGTGGCGGTTAAGTCGGTAGGAGAAGGAGGAGCAACAGGGCGAAGAAGAGTGTGAAATAGGGTTCACAGGAAAGTGTGGTTATGAGGGTATTGAAGCAATTTACTTTTGCAGAGGAAAGAGCCAAGATGTAAGAGCGCAGCATAAATTTATAGTGGAGAAAGTCAGATACAGAGTGAGACTTTCTCCAGCAGAATTCAATAGTTCTGAAGCATTTTTGGAGGTATCGAGTCAGATTGGTGTGCCAAGGTTGTAGTTAGGGGCACTTGCTGCATTTAAGTATAGGAGGTGCCATGATGTCTAGTTGAGAGGAGAGGGTGGAATTGTAAAAAAAGATTGCAGAGCTAGGGCAGGGGAGATTTGATTAAAAGGAGAGTTTGGAGGTTAGTGGAGAAGCGCTCTAGGTCAATACATTGGAGTTTTCAGTGATATTGATGTGCCAAGGGTGGGGTCAGTTGGGTCCTGGGTGTGCTGATGTCAAAAGTCAGCAGATGGTGGTCAGATAGAGGAAAAGGAATATTGGAGAGATTAGAGGCAGTACACAGGTTGGTGAAGGTGAGAAGGTGACGGCGCTTTATAAATATCATAATAATAATAATAATAATAATAATAATAAGAGTGTTTCCAGCTGTATGGGTTGCTGAATTAGACCATTGCGTGAGGCCAAAGGAGGAGGTTACAGAGAGCAGATAAGAGGCATCAGTGCAGTTGGGGTTTTTGTTAGGGATATTGAAATCACCAAGTATAAGGGAATGAATGCTAGAGGAAAGGAAGTGAGGTAGTCAGGAAGAAAAGTGCTCAATAAATAGCCTAGGATACCCAGGGATGGAGGGGGGAGGGGTAGGTAACAACAATTAATAAAGGAGTGGGTTTAAATAGGCGGACCATGTGAACTTCAAAGGAAGTAAAGGAAAGGGCAAAAGCAATCAAATAAGGTGGAAGAGAAGCAGAGCTGGAGGAGAGAGTAAAGTGCTACCCTTTAGGAGAGAGCAAGAGACATGTATGTGAGGTAAAGGTTACTCTGGGAGGCCATAAGCTTTCCTAAAAAGATGGGTTTTAAGGCACTTCTTAAACAATTGAAGTAGTCTTCAATCATTTAAGAAGTGCCTTAAAACCCATAGGAAGGGAGCTGCCTGTGAGAAGTCCTGCAAGCATGAGTGCGAGTAACGGACAGGAGAAGGTCACAGGCGGAGCAGAGAGACCAAGAAGGGGCATACCTATGGATCTGTGAAGAGGGGCTAGAATTGGTCAATCTTTTATAGTTATGAGTTAGCATTTTGACTCTTATAGGATACAGGAAGCCAAAGTAGGGACTGACAAAGGGGTGAGGTGTGAGAGGACCGAATAGAGAGGAAAGTCAGTCTGGCGGCATTCATTAAAGACTGTTGCGGGACAATGCGGTTTTTGGGAAGACCAATTAGGAGAGTGTTACAATAATCCATGCTGGAAATTACTAGCGTATGGACAAGCTCTTTGGTAGCATCTTGTGTAAGACAAGGGCGGATGCGGGCTATGTTTTTAAGATGGAATCTACATGATTTGGTAACATGCTGGATGTGAGGCTCAAAGGTGAGGCAAGAATCAAATATGACAACAAGACAGCGCGCTTACAAGGATGGACTGATATGGATACCACTGACTTGAAGGGAGAGCGAAAGAAGAGGATCAGTATTAGGAAGAGGAAAGACAAGGATTTAGTCCAGTTTTAGCGAGATTTAGTTTTAGAAAGCGGGAGAACATCCAGTCAGAGATGGAGGAAAGGCAAGCAGTGACATATTGCAGGTTGGCAGGGGAGAGCTCTGGGGAGGAGAGATATAGCTGGGTGCCATTAGCATACAGTTGGTAGTGGAATCCAAATGAGGCAATAAGTTTGCCAAGAGAGGAAGTATAAAGAGAAAATAGAAGGGGACAGAGCCTTGGGGGACTTAAACAGAGACAGGATGAATGGAGGAGGTATCATTAGAAAAGGAGACACTGAATGAGTGTTGGGGGAGATAGGATGAAAACCAAGAGAGGACAGAGTCACAGAGACAAGTGATTGAAGAGTTTGAAGAAGGAGAGCATGATCAATGGTGTCAAAGGCAACAGAAAGGTCAAGAAATATTACATAGTTACATAGTTACATAGCTGAAAAGAGACTTGCGTCCATCAAGTTCAGCCTTCCTCACAAATGTTGTTGCTGTTGATCCAAAAGAAGGCAAAAAACCTGGTCTGAAGCACTTCCAATTTTGCCACAAACTAGGGAAAAAAAATCCTTCTTGACCCCAAAATAACTTGATCCAGTGTCTCAACGGATCAAGCAGCTATTACCCATAATTAGAAATTATATCCCTGCATGTTATGTTTTTGTAAGTATTTATCCAATTTCAGTTTAAACATCTGTATGGACTCTGACAAAACCACCTCTTCAGGCAGAGAATTCCATATCTTTATTGTTCTTACTGTAAAAAAACCTTTTCTTTGCCTTAGATGAAATCTCCTTTCTTCCAGCCTAAATGTGTGACCTCGTGTCCTATGTATAACCCTGTTTATGAATAGATTTCCAGATAAAGGTTTGTACTGGCCCGAATATATTTGTATAAAGTTATCATATCCCCTCTCAGGCGCCGTTTTTCCAAACTAAACAGATTTAATTTTTTTAACCTTTCTTCATAACTAAAATGCTCCATTCCTTTTATCAATTTTGTAGCTCGTCTCTGGACCCTCTCCAGTGCCATGATATCCTTCTTTAGAACAGGTGCCCAAAATTGCACAGCATATTCAAGGTGTGGTCTTACCAGCAATTTATAAAGAGGCAAAATTATATTTTCATCCAGAGAATTTATGCCCCTATTTATACATGACAAAACCTTACTGGCCTTAGCAACTGCAGATTGACATTGCATATTGCTGCCTAATTTGTTGTCTATAACAATTCCAAAATCCTTCTCGTGTGTGGTTATCCCTAATTCACTACCATTTAGGGTGTAAGTTGCTTGTGCATTCTTAACCCCGAAGTGCATAACTTTGCATTTCTCTATGTTAAATTTCATCTGCCATTTTAGTGCCCAGTCCCCCAATCTATCCAAATCTCTCTGCAGCAAGGCAATATCCTGCTCACATTTTATTACTTTACAAAGTTTTGTGTCATCTGCAAACACTGATACATGGCTTTCAATGCCTATTTCAAGATCATTTATAAATATGTTAAATAAAAGTGGTCCCAAAACAGAACCCTGAGGGACATCACTTACCACTTTTGTCCAGCCTGAAATTTACCATTAATTACAACTCGTTGTACTCTATCCTTAAGCCAATGTTCTACCCAAGAACAAGAATATTCATCTAGACCAATTTCTTTTAGTTTGAAGACTAACCTATTGTGAGGAACCGTATCAAATGCCTTGGCAAAATCCAAGTAGATCACATCCACTACAACACGCTGATCTATACTTCTACTTACTTCTTGTGCAATTAGGTTAGTTTGACATGACCGATGTTTCATAAAACCATACTGATTATTGCTAATAACAAAGTTCTTCCCAATTAATTCCTGAATATTATCCCTTAATAGCCCTTCAAATATTTTCCCAGTTACAGAAGTTAAGCTCACAGGTCTATAAATTACAGGCAAGGATTTTGAACCCTTTTTAAATATAGGAACAACATTTGCCTTCCCCTAATCCTCCGGTACAACACCTGAAACAAAAGAATCTTGAAAAATTAAATACAGAGGTTCACTTATTTCCCCACTTAGCTCCTTAAGTACTCGTGGGTGAATACTGTCAGGCCCCGGAGCTTTATTTACATTAATTTTCTTTAATAGCTGTAGCACCTTGTCTCGAGTTATCCAATCACAAGTTATTTGCAAGTTTTTTGCAGCAATCATTTGCATATCTCTTGCCATAGGATCCTCATTAATATATACTGAAGAAAAATAGTTATTTAAAATTTCTGCTTTTTCCTGGTCTTCATTAGCTAATAAACCCAACTCTGTTTCAAGTGTACCTACACTTTCATTTTTTGTTTTTTTAGAATTGATGTACTTGAAAAAAAATTTGGGGTTGGTTTTGCATTCTTTAGCTATCAATTTCTCATTTTCTAGTTTAGCCACTTTAATTGCCTTTTTGCAAGCGTTATTGGCTTCCTTATATCTTAAATAGGATGCCTTTGATTTGTCTGATTTAAATGCCCTTTTCTTATTTTTAACCTCTTGTTTTACTTCTCTACTAAGCCACATTGGTTTTAATTTGTTTCTTTTATATTTATTACCCAATGGTACAAACTGAGAAATGTACCTTTCTAATATTTGTTTGAATAGTTTCCATTTATCCTCAGTGTTTTTATCACTAAGGAGTTTATGCCAGTCGATATGTTGTAGAGCTGCCCTAATCTTACTGAAATTGGCTTTTTTTAAATTATATGTTTTAGTATACCCTACTTGCTTTTGCTTTTTTGAGTTTATTTCAAAATTTACCATATTGTGATCACTATTTCCCAAATGCTCCCCTACTTGAATGTTGGTTAAAAGATCAACATTGTTTGTTATGACAAGATCCAGACAAGCATCCTTTCTAGTTGGTGCTGTGACATAAAGGTGTCATTTAACACATTCAAAAACCTGATGCCCCTTGCTGAAGTACTAGTCCCTCTTTCCCAATTTATGTCTGGATAATTAAAATCTCCAATAATTAACGTGTTACCTCGATTTGCAGCTTTCTCAATTTGCTCTAACAGCTGTTCTTCCTCAATAATATTTACATTAGGTGGTTTATAACATATCCCAACCAATAATTGATTTCCCTTTGTTTGCCCCAAGCAGATATCTACCCATAAAGCCTCCACCTTTTCCTCATCACACTCCACATGCCTAAGATTTGACTTTAACTCATGGTTGACATAAGTATTAATATGGAGTAGTGGCCTTTGGATTTAGCTGCGATTAGGTCGTTAGTAACTTTGATGAGAGCAGTCTCAGTAGAGTGAAGAGGGCGGAAGCCAGATTAAAGAGGGTCAAGGAAAGAGTTGCAATTGAGGAAGTGAGACATATGGGACAAGTCTTTCCAGAAGCTTTGAGGAAAAAGAGAGCAGGGATATGGGATGATAGTTAGAGGGGGTGGATGGGTCGAGGGATGTTTTTTTCAGGATATATACTACAGTGGCATGTTTAAGGTCAGCAGAGACAATGCCAGAAGAGAGAGAGAGCAGTTGAAGATCTGTGTTAGGTCGTTACTTGATATTTTTGGATAAGCTTTCTAGATGAGAAAAAGTTTTAAAATTATATTTTCAGAATATTAAAATATCAAATAATACATCATATATAAAAATATGAAAATTATCAAATTGTCAAAATATTAAATCATTTGAAAAATGTATCCAAAAATATTAAATTGAGGCCATATTATAAATTTAGAAGCAAAAAAGTAAAAAGAAATACCTTACAGACTTATGATCACATATCATAAGATGAGTTGTAAATCTGAAAAGATAACCATATAAGCTATCCATTCTTCAGTCAATTTATCTCTCCATCCATTCAGTTTTAAGTAAATGAAATGTCTTGGATCTCTCATCTAGTTTACTTTCAATACGATAACACAAATGATACATCTTCTAAGGGCACTATAGGTCTATTCACTAAATGCTGAATTGTAGTGAATGGAAAATTGTAAAGTTAAGGCTAAAATAGCCAAGTTGTATAAAGTGAATAATGTTTACCGATCAGCTATTTTTGACTAGACTTTGCAATTAATTTTTCAAGTTACTGCAGCTTCTGCAGTTCCTTTGCACCCAGAAACAGAGCACATACACATAGCCAGGTGCCAGCAAAATGTCTAATTTAAACAGAATTCATTGGAACTCTGATCATATGACACGCTAATTGATGTGCAGTCTCTACATGGACCAACATATCTATATAATTGGGTACATAGAATACAAAAAAATCGTTAAAAACCCACTTCTTCATAAAAGCGTATCAATTAAATTGTTAATAGCTCCTAACTGATTCCTCTTCTGCAACTGCCATTAGTCTAATACTATCCTTACCTTTTTGTGTCACTTTACCCCACTTCCTCTAGCATGTAAGCTCATTGAGCAGGGCCCTCAACCCCTCTGTTCCTGTGTGTCCAACTTGTCTGGTTACAACTACATGTTTGTTCGTCCACCCATTGTAAAGCGCTGCGGAATTTGATGGTGCTCTATAAATATCATCATCATAATAATATTATTATTATTATTATTATTAATACATAGGCAAGAGCATATTAATGATCCATTGGATGCCCCATGTGTCTATGTTTTTTCCTAATTATTTTGTTTTAAGCAGAGAGAAAGTTCTATCTTAATTCACATTTTCTTTAGTGATTTAAAAAAAAGAAGCTAATTTCACTCTTCATTATATCTCTTTCTGTGATAAGAAAAGTGGGACCTTATGGCCAGTTCTACATAAAACCAAACCGACAATCAATTAATGGCACCTGTTGCGCCCTGTAGAAGTTTTGGAATTTATACACTGTAGCAATACTGTGCCCTTGCGTGACACAGAGCGACACCAGAGAGGAACTGGCATTTTTAAAATATATTTTGCATTTATCACAATTGTCACTTGCCATTAATTTCAATTCCCTTTATGCATCCGCTCAAAACATAATTAAGATTTTATGCTGCAGTAAATATGCTTGTTCATCCATTAGGGCAAAGCAGAAGATTAATTGCATTACAATAGAAATCAGTTCGCTAGAATTCAGAGTACCGGTTGTAATGGCAGAAATGCTGCCCACAATACTTTGCTCTGATAAGCTTCAAAAGCATGCTTAAATGGGAAAATAATTGGATCTCTGACAAGTAGCACCATTCCTATATCTACGCATATGAGCCAGAGAAACACCTCCATTTCTCAAACAATTGTCCTATGTTCCATACAGATTGTTTCTAAATAGTTACACCGTGTATCTTGATGATTATTGAATCATCTTTCAATGAGTGCGCATAAAATGAGTTATAATAAAATAAATTATTCTCCTGCATTTTCTTTTTCTAGATTTTACAAACGGCAGATGTTTCCATCATAATGACTGCAGTTTACTGCCGCAGTGCAAGATCTGCCACAATTACATAATTAAAGTTATCGCCAGTAGAATTGTGTTATCAAACAGTTTGACATTACACGGAGCCCAAGTTTTAGTTGAAAAAACGTGATAGGTTTGACTTCTATGTGCTGGCCTCAGTTTCATCTGAATGACCTAGGTCATAAATAGGGCAGGCAGAAAATTCAAGTTGGCTCTTTAAAGATTTCCTGTGAATATAACAGGGTCCACATTTTGCCTTTTCATGGCAACTTGTCTTCTGCAGCAACTTTTATTCTTGCAGGAGAACTTCTGTATGATGATTTTTTTAGGAATCCTTCTACAGAAGCATTCTTACTTTATATATAGGGGCATTTAAAGGGTTATTCAAGGCATCATAACCACTACAGCCTGTTGTAGTGTTTATGATGCCAGGGGTACCTTGGCCCCATTACTCAGTAACTTCTAGTTTTTCAATGGTTTGTCTTCTTACCTGGGTCCTTGCCAGGCGCTGACTGCCCTCATGTGGCCAATGATGATATCCAGCTTCTGCAGAGCTTTGGAAACTGGAAGTGCACCCCACTAGCCATACATTAGCTGAGAGCATCAGCTGATTCTGTCAGCCAATGAATTCAATTCTGTGCATAGGAATATGCACAGAATTTACCTTAGCCAGCTAGGAATTCATGGGCTGGCTAATGATGACCCAACCATATAAGCTATCCATTCTTCAGTCAATTTCTCTCTCCATCCATCCATCCATTCAGTTTAAAGTAAATGAAATGTCTTGGATCTCTCATCTCGTTTACTTTCAATATGATAACACAAACGATACATCTTCTAAGGGCACTATAGGTCTATTCACTAAATGCTGAATTGTAGTGAATGGAAAATTGTAAAGTTAAGGCTAAAATAGCCAAGTTGTATAAAGTGAATAATGTTTGCACAGAACAAACAGACCTGCGGGAGGTCGATATGTGCAGAGGGTCAAAGCAAAATATTCCAGGCACCATGACCACTTCAAATCACTGTAATACTATTTAAAGTAATACTAAAACATTGGCCTTAACTACTGTCCATATATTTATACACTGCCAGATGTTCTTTGTATACAGCTGTACTATTGTAACATCAATATTTAACACTATTGTATAATGGAATGGTCAGCAACAGTCATATTGGACAGAGAGATAATTTACTTGCTGATGAAACACCTTCTCAGGCTTACTACTGATAGTTTGTTACTACTAGGGCTGATGACAATTGAACACATTCTACTTTACTCTGCTCCTGAAGCTATAAGCTATAATTTGTGCTATGATAATATGACTATTTTTCTAAATATTTTTTGCAAGATGGAAAGAGCC